AAAATATCTTAGATAAATATATAAAATTGTATATGATATAAATATAAAATTACATAGATTATAAATATAAAATTTTATTTATACAATAGTTTTATTTAATTTATTTATCATCAGCTAAAGGAATGGTATAAATTTATTTTTTTAATCACAAGCTTTTTCTACAAATTTTAAACATTTAAACGTAGTTTTGCAAGATGAATAAACCTTGTGGGACCCATACGGGATACCCAACAGGCATGCCCATATGGGAACACCGCGGACAAGATCCGAAAGGCTCCCGATGTGCTTGCCATATGTTTCAAAGTTGCAAACCCAAATGAGTTACTTACAGTTTTAAAATGGGTGATTTGTGTTGGATTCATACGGGATACTCGAAGGGCATATCCATATGGACCCTATATGAAAACTGCCGCCAAAATCCAACGTGATACCATTGGTCTTCCCATACGGAACCCAGTTGACAAACCGTATGGGCCCCGTACGGTACCCGTTTATCAATGTTGGCTAGAAATCAGCTATGTTATTTCTAATCTTTAGTTTAATTTAGTTTAGTTAGTCAAAAATAGAATAATAAATTCAATATCAGAATCTTTATCTGTTAAAACTACAGCTTCTGACTGCGATGCAGAAGAGCCAGCTTCAGATTTAAACTTTTTATTTATTAATAAGGAGTTGATTCAAATAAATATAAGTTTTTGTTAATTTACAAATTTTTTTAGTTACTTAACAAGGAATTTTATTATTTGTTATCTAACAGCAGTCCCAGAAAAAAAGAGTTCTCCGAAACCAGTCTTGTTTTACACATTCGTTACTAGTTGCAAGAATACATTAAATAAATAAAAAAACTGATTAAAAAAAGTCAGGATCTTTACACGATTACTCCTACAGATAAGATCTTTGCTTGGAAATCGTGAAGAACATTTTACAACAGGCTTAGTTAAATTAAACTAAGTTAAATTAAAGCGCATTTCTAATGTTCGTAGACAGTAACGGAAGAAGAGCTTATAATAACAACAAAACTAATAAAAGCAAACTTCTATTTATTGTAAATAGAAGCAAGCTATAAGAGTACGTAATTTTAAAAAATAACAAAAAGGACGAAAAGCCATCATCTGAAAAAAGATTTTTACTAACGTTGTATGAACTAAAAGTCTAGGGTAATTGAAAGTAGTTTTGGCATATTTAACTATTTTTTATTTATTAAATAGTAACTTCACTGTAAAATACTATAATATTTAGAATTCCGTTTTATTTCTTAATTTTAAGTTTTATTGTTGTTATTATTACACAATTTAAATATTGATGTTCTGTACCCCGAAAAAAAAGTTATATTGAATTTTTATTTTTGAAACATAAGGCCGATAGAAATCCTATAGAGTTTCTATAGAACTTCTATAAAATATCTATTAATTTCTATAGAGAATGCTGTCAACATTTTTTTCTATAGAAATGAAGTAGATAAAAAAGTTAGATTAGACTTTTTGTAAATTACTTTATTTCAATAAAAAAATGTATATAATTCTAAAAATAAACCTCACGAAAATACAAGTGATATTAAGCAACTTTTTAAACTTAATAAAAAAAAAAGTGCTACCTTAAGAAACATGTGCTTTATTCCTAAATAAAATTAAAAAACAGTTATAAACTAAGGTTCTTAATTTCTTTTCTTTGAGTTCTGTTAAAATAGAAACTTATATGTTTACAAAATCACAAAATTGTTAATATAATATTCTTTTTACTTAAATTCAAATGTTTAAAATAGTGATTTTAAAAACTGACTAAAAAACTCTTTAGCGGGCACAGACGTCTTTGGAACGATATTTCACCGAAACAATATTTCTTAATAACGCAAGTTACAATGATTTTGATATGCGTATAAATTCATTTTACAATGTATTTGCGTACAATTTCATTCTAGAATATATTTCATACGCGTACAAATTCATTCTAGAATAAATTAGTACGCATATCAAAACCATTCTTGCGTGTAGATTCATTCTAGAACAAATTTGTACGCATATCAAAACCAATATAACTTGTGTTATTAAGAAATTATATTGTTTTGGTGAAATTTTTTCCTGTATGTTGACCCCATTTTAACCAATTTTAAGCAGCTAAAATATATTAGAAATCAATTTTAAGGATTTAAAAATTATATATATAATATGCTCTATAAAGCTTTCTTTCATTTTCTTTATCTAGTAAGAACTTTTATTGCTTATTGTTTGATTATTATTAATTATTTTTATTAGTTATTATTGATTTGTTATTTTTTACTTTTTATGCGGCTGTCAGTTTTAACGTTGAGGTTTCCTTTTGTTGAGATAAATGAGATGTTCTGTATAAATTTCAGCTACATGTAACACCATGAGGGTACAAGGTTTCACTATAGATGCAAAACCTCAAATGATTTCTGAAACTTTTGTAAGTTTGATAAAGAAAGATACTAAATAAAAAGTATATGACATAAAATTGCAAAGCCATAGACAACTTTTTTAGATGTTTGAGCTGTGGAACTTTGAAACATGAAGAGAACTCCATATTTAAGTATGTTTATATATATGAGGAAAGAGGATGCTATGCAAAAAATTGCGGTGATTGGAGACTGGGAACAACGAGTACCCTAAAACGTTTGCTTCCCTGCCCCAAATATAATAGCGTTGAGTCTAAGTTGTTATTTTTTTCAATCTTTAAATTAATTTATATTCGAATTTATATTATTGAAAAATTTCAAATTTTATTTAATCTCTTGTTTTTCGGCTTTTATGACCTTTACAGCCCCCTCAAATTGAAGGAGGTGTATATTTTACATGGTCATATTTTCAGAACTCTAAGAGAATAATAAATAAAATTCAAAGTCTGTCGATGAATACGAATTTAGTTAGTGATTGCAAAAAAAAAAAAAATTTAATTCATTGCCAACATATTTAGGGCTAACGTTTAAGGGTTTTTGTTGTCCTCAGTCTCCAATCACTGCAATTTTTTACGTTACTTCCTCATTCCTCATATATACCCAAATATGGAGTTTTCTTCATGTTTTAATGTTGCTTAGCTCAAGCATCTTAAAAAGTTGTCTACGGCCTTGAATTGTAACTGGTAAACAAAATTAGGCAATATCTAATTTTAAAAAAAAATTGATTTAAATATTCAACCCTTATTTTGAGAAAACCTTTTATTTTTTAAGGAGGAAGGACGAGGGAAGGGGAGAGTAGAGAGTGGATTAATAAAACACCAGACAAACTAATACTTTTGTTAATCGGAAAAAAAAGTACTTGCTAATCTTTAAAATAAATGTTTTTTAGACAAATGTAATAATAAAAACAAAATCTTTTAAATTACCTTCCTAATTGTAATAAAACGATCTTCGAAAAAGTCAAAGAAATCAAAGTCTTTAGCGGAAACTAAACTTTAGTTGAGTGCAGCAAGTATCAAGTGCAGCAGGTATCTCAGCAACAATTGCAGCAAGTATCTCAGATTTATAAATTGATTCATAAGTTGTTGATATAACAGACCTGACCAGCAGTCTTAATTACAGCAAAATCTTCTGTAAAAAGCACTTTAATCAAACCTATATATTTTGCATATTTTAAACCCTGAGAAAAAAATTTGAGCAGTTGTAGATTTTTTAAAAACTATGACAACTAATTCAACAACCATTAATTCAATCATATAATATGTAGGTTGGTCAAGAAATTACTTTATCATAGATTGAGGCTTTTAAAGAATAAAAAATCAAGTTGTTGTAGTTTGCGTGTAAGATGGACAGTTTGGGATAAAACGATCATTTTTTTCTTTTGAGCTCATTTAATAATAGAAAAGTTTTTTTTTTTTCATTTAAAGATAAAAATCTATTCAAAATAAAAAAGAAACTGGCTGGTTTTTTTGTTTGCAGCTAGACTACTTGTTAATAAAAATTGAACCTTTTTTCCAAGTACCTTAGCCGTTATTTATTTATTTTTTCCAAATAAATAAATAACGGCTTTTTAATCTCCAAAAATTTATTTTTATCTCCAGAAATCGAGCCTGTTAGTGCTTTACCCAAAACTTCAAATTTAGTTTCAAGATGCGGATCATTCTATAGTCAAAGTCTTTATAGCAGATTGCAAGATTTGTTTAATAATGAAGTAGAGATATGGGTCCTAGAGACATTCATCATGAAGTCCATATGAGTAACGCTAACCACACGCTTTTAGATTGAAAAATCTTTTGTCAAAATATATATGTAGCAACGCTTGAAAAAACCCTTATGTTGTTGCCAATTAAATCACACTCAAATGTTGTTCTATATTAATAATGATTAAATCTATTCTAACTGTGGTTAAAATATTGGAACCAAGTTTCTTTCATTAAGTATCATTAACGCACCCTGGTCATCGGGTTCTTGGTGAAATAAAAGGAGTTTAGAAAAATGATTGGATAGAAATTCCAATTATACTGCAGAAATACTTGAGAAATATATTTTATGCAACATTTTACATAGAAAATAATTTTTTTTTAATGTTTGGGCTTTATATAGTATATTTAAAAACCTCAAAATTTGAGTTTACTGCCATGAAGTTGTTGTTCTCTTAAATAATGAAATTCACACGCAAAGTATGAAGGACCTACGTCTCGTGTAGAACGTAAATTGTGATGACGTTTTGGCACATCCAAAGATCTATTTACATCTTAATAAGTTCATCCTCAAAGGTTTATTTTGCGTCAACGTCTTAAAGGTTTTCATTCATTTTCAGCATTTATTTTTAGCGTTTCGCGTCAATATCCTGTTTGAATTGGTTATTTTTTTTAATTTGACATTTCTTAAAAACGGTTAGCCATTGAATACTTTTTTTCATTAGATGAATAAATAATATATTTAAACCATTTAATGTTACACTTCAATATTTACTCAGTATTTAAAAAAAAAAAAAAAAAGTTTATTTAGCTGTTTTAAAATTACGCAATAAAAAAAAAGGTTCCTTAAAGCGGTTTTAAAACGTAAAATAACGACAATCATTTACTTATTTAGATCTTTTTAATATATAAAATCAGCGCCCGTAGTTTTTTTGATGTTTCAGCTGACACTAAAGCATCGAAAAACCTAACTGAAAAAAAAATTTGCATGGTCATAACTTTTGTAATTTAAAATATTTTTGTATAAAATTTAAAATCTACCTTTGAATTTTTTAATAGTTTTTTTTTTTTAATTTGTTATTTTAGGTGCAAGACGGAATTTTCAATACTATCTCTTTTGATATTTATTCTTCTACCAAAGAGAAGAGAGTCACTACTTGATATTTGTAGATTCATCTCTTAGAGATAGGCGTAACATTGGTTAACTGACAAAATGTAAAAAGCAGATTTATTGGAAGCTATGTAGCAGCTTGCACAAGCACAAAAAAGCATTAAACACATCGAAAAAAATGTTTTAAAATCAGGAACCATCGAAAATGTAAATTCCCAGAACAAAACAGTGTGTAGAACGAGCAACCAAGTGTCTTCAAGATCTTTTTGACATCAGTAGAAAAGATAAAGAACCTCAAGCATAAATTTATTTTGTCTCACAAAACATAAGAATTGTGCATCAAGCCTTAATTAAGCTGAAGACTACACAACATTTTTTCAATATATACAGTAACCCCCCCCCTGCTTTTGTACTTGTAGAGTTGTTATCTAAGTTTGTAATTTTATATTTATTTGTAATTTAAAGTATTAAGATGTAGCAATAAACTGTTAAGTACTTAAAAACTACATAATAAGTCTTTATTGAGTTTCTTATTAAAAAATAAGATCTATATACTCATATATGGTAAATTCGAATTTTTGGTATTTGGCGTGACATTTTTTAACAAGAAAATCGAAATAACATTTTTTTGATTACTTTTTTACAATTACTCATCGATCTATGACCAAGGAACATGGGGAAATAAAAAAGAGCATATTTAGTTTTTTTTTTCACTTGTTTAAATAGGAAACATTGTTTCTCGACCAAATATTGTATGCTGCTGTTGGTGGCAAATGTTTGGAACTAGTTCCAAGTTTTTAATTGTTGTGAATTCAACAGTAGAAGAAATAATAAATCTGTTTGTTTATCTAATAAATCTGGATGTGTGCAGCTATCCTGATTTTGTATGTTCTAGATGTCAGTGAAATCTCTACCTATTTAGGACTGGAAAACTTGCTCGAGGTTTATGGGGAGAAATGACATTTACACAACTGTTTTTCTTTATCTGTAGTTGAAAATCATATTAACATCAAGTCTAGGAACATTGCAAGCAGAGCAAGTTGCGTCTGGTATAATAAAAGCAAAAATGGAGACTGATGAAATTGCTATGGGGAACAATTTATTTGTTCTTCTGGTGGAATCCCATTGGCGAGTACAGTTGGATGTCCTAATAACAAAGCAAATTGTTCTTCTTTAATTATGAGCACATATGTATGAATAAAGAAGATTATACCTGGTCAATATAATATTACTACCCAGCTACCACACTTACGTTGGGCCAACGTATGTAAATACATTGCGAGCGACTGTTTTCCATGATACAAATACAACGTTGATCCAATGTTAGTTTTATCGTATTTATATTAATGAAAATAACGAGGTGATTAAAAAGAGCAAAATTACATTGGTCATACGTACGTAAAAACATCGCAAAAGTTGGTTGTTTTTCCAATCTAAACCCAATGTTAATTCAATGTATGGGGATCAAGGTTGACCTAATGTGTAAAACCCCACATTGATTGAATACATATGGATTAACATTGATCCAATGTTTATAACGTTAATCCGATGTGTGTGGATTAACGTTGGATCAAATGCTGCTATATTGAATCAACGTTGATACATTGAATCGACGTAAATACATTGAATCAACGTTGATCCATATACATTGGAAAAATATTTTGTTAATATATTTTTCTTTTTCTTATATAACGAAATATCAAGCCACAAGCAAAACAAATGCGAGTAATGTCTTTAATCAGATGACAGTCCGTTAGACTGCAATTGTCTTTTTTTAAAACAACTAATGCGTTATTGTTTTGCCATGAATAGTTATAATGAATATTTTGCATTAATAGTTTAGTATATAAATAATTTAGAAAAACTAAGAAAACTAACAAAAAGTCAAGTAATTCTTGAATTTCTTGATATATCAAATAATTGAGCTTATTGCGTAATAATTAACTAATTGTCTTAAGTAAAAATTTAACAAAAAACTGTTAAATAAAATTACAAAAATATTCACACAAAAAAAAAAATTAGTAAAAGTATCAATAAAAATATTTTTTGCTTTTTTAAACTTCATATTTTATTGGTTTTCAATATTTGCATATTTTTGAGATCTAAACTGGATCAATGAGATCTAAAAAGGCTCGTTTAGTTAGTACAAAAATTTGGTTCAAAAAAAAAAAAACTTGTCCAGGTTTTTGGGACGCAGCATTTCTAGCATTCTTAATAAGCAATTTGTTACAAAATACTTTATATAACACATTATATTACACGTTAATTTTACTTGTTTCTCTTATTGTGAAGACAACATAACAAAAGTATGTTGTACCAAAGTATTAAACCTACGCTATACTGTTGCCTGAACTTAAACCTACAAACCTGCACTAAAAACATTTTAATAAATTTATCAAATGCACAGTGGGCCAGGTGGTGGAAAAAAGCAAAAAAAAAGTTTTCTCAAAAATGACTTTGTTATATACCATTAAATAGCTTAAACATCCGGCTTTTATAAAATGTATATATTTCTGTATAACTATCGTGGCGTTTAAATTTTAGGCTGTTAATAAAAAAGGTAATTTTTTTTTCAAATTTTTTTTTTGTTTTTTTTTAATTTAATAATATTTTTCGTGTTTGTAATAAGCATAAAATTGTTATTAATTATTAAAGCTTCATTTTTTTATTGAATAATTAAATAAAACTAAGTATTATCTATCAAATGAGTTATTGCAAAATTATTTGTAAAGTAAGCTATATCAAATAAATTGATTTCTAATAATGGTGTATTTAAAACACTTTTTTTAGTAAAAATTTCATCTAAATAATGAACTTTTGCGCTCCAAGGTACTCCAGAAATTTGAGACTTAAAATATCTTGCCCAGTTTGTATATTATCGATATATATTTTACCTATTGTCGGCGGGTGTCAGCTGCGTCTCTATTCATGATTTTTACAAGTTTCATCTTTAGGACAGGGGGGCCAACATTCTAGCTTTTTTTTGTGTTCCCAGGCTCCAATCATCGCAAATTTTTGGCAAATCATATTTTTATCACATTAAAATAAACATATAAATATTTGGAGTTTGTTTTATATCCAAATGTCTCATGAATAGTATATATTTTGTATTTGTAGGCTGAAAATGAAATATTTTGATATCTATGCATTCATTATGCATAAGCCTAATAATCTACAAATATCTGACTCTGGTATTGTGGACAAACTTATTGATGCTATGAATTTGGATTGCAACAAGCAGCAATTGTGAACTAGGCACAAGTCATATTGCAGCCTTGCTCGATTTGAAAAAAAGAACAAAAAATGGCTGCAAAGCCATGTTCCTGAAGATTTAAATGTAACACCAATATCTATTAGAAGATCAAATAAGACAAACTTTGATGACTACTCTACTAAAACAAAAAAACTGCAAGCTTTGGTCGGTCATACAGCAAATAGAATATGCAAAGCACAGTATGATGTCCTTTGCACTGAAGGTACTCCAGATAGACTTTCTTTGAGATACAAAATAGGCTTTGATGGTGCCACAGGACAGTCTATATATGAAAAATATCGCAAGGAACAGTAATATGAAATTTAAACAATGAGCAGGCACTTTTTACTACTTGCTTATTGCCATTGGACTTGTGTGGTTTTTCAAATGGAAAACGGTACCCAGCTTGGCAAAATCCACAACCATCATCAACAATTTACTGTAGACCTCTGCGTTTTAAATTTGAAAAAAGAAAGGCAGTTGTTTCTAAATCAGAAGAAGATCTCATTAGGGTTGAGATTTCAAACTTGCAGGATACTGAAGTTGATATAAATAATAAAAAAATCAAAATACATCATATAATACAAACTACTATGATTGATGGAAAAGTTCATACTGCTCTTTCAGATGTTATAAATTCAAGTCAATGCTGTACTATATGTGGACAAGTCCCAAAGCAATGAATGATATTGAAAAAATGGTTTTGAAAAAGGGTATGACAGGCAGTTATTCATTTGGTTTATCATCCTTACATGCTTGGATACGTTTTTTTGAATGTTTATTACATATTGGATATAAAATAACTTTGAAAAAGTGGCAGGCAAGAACAGTAGAAGATAAATCTAAAGTAAAGGCTCTTAAACAACAAATTCAAAATAGATTTAAAGATGAAATGGGCTTGATAGTTGATGTTTCGAAATCTGGTGGTAGTGGGACATCAAATGATGGAAATACGACTTGAAGAGCATTTCAAAATGCGGAAAAGTTTACAGAAATTTTAAAAATTGATGTTGAACTGATTCTAAATTTGCATATTATATTGGCAACAATTTCATGTGGTTTAGATATTGGTACCGAGGCTTTCTATTTAAAAACATCTCGACTTTATGTTCATCCTTATTTTTGGTATTATATGCCACAATCTCTCCACCAAATTTTAATCCACGGTTCTGAAATTATTAAAAGTTTAGCATTACCCATTGGTATGTATTCTGAAGAAGTTCAAGAAGCACGCATTAAAGATTTTCAAAACTATCGTGAACATTTTGCAAGAAAATCATCTCGTGTGAAAACTAACCAAGATTTGTTAAATCGACTTCTGTGCACATCTGATCCATTTATTGCATTTCTGAGAAAAACAGCAGGAAGTCACACCAAAACGAAAAACTTACCAGCTGGAGTTATTGACTTATTGAGGTTATCTACAAATAATATTAATTTATAAATGTGTCTTTTGTATCTTTATAATTTTGGAAATGTCTGTACCTATATGAAAGTGTGACTGTAAATTAAAACAATTAGTTATGCTCAATCCTATTAAAATTATCAAATTAATTTGGATACCAAGTTTAGAAACATTTGGGTAAAAATAACCCTTAGTAACTAAGCATAAATATGTATGCAAATAGAATTGCCTTGGCAACCACAAAAAAAAAATGCTCATTTAAATTATAATCATCCAATTAATTTATATATCAAATTTTGAGGCCTATGGGTGAAAGGAAAAAAAGTTATGACTTTTTTCCAAAAATATGGGATTCTGGCCCACTGTGATATGCAGTAAACAATGTTTTATACAAGAACGTGTGAACAGGGCCACCATAACAAATATCATTTTGTAAGCCTGCAGCAGTATTCTTATCTCTCCGTTAAGCTTAACGGGGCGTTTGTCAAAAATTTCATTACAGCATTTCTAAGTAAAGAAATGACAAAAACTTTATTTAAATTTGTTTAAATAAAACTAAGATTAAAATGAAACAATTTTATTTAAAAAATTATTTTTTTTAAAGAATTTTTTTTATTTATGTAGTTAAAAAGAACTTTTTGACAAATGCTCCGTTAAGCTTAATAGAGAGATGAGAATACGGCCACTGGTTGTTTAAAAAAAGTAACAAAAGTGATGCATCTGTTTTTTCTTTTGATTAATTTATTTTTATTTTTTAATTTGCATTAAATTTAGAAACAAGGTATTAAGATAGTTAGAATTTAGAAACAAGAAAATAAGATATTTTTAAGGTTCAAAATTCAGAAACAAGTTAGATAGAAGATAGTTATTTCATTATCATCATTAATAAGTTTTTGTTTCAGTTTTTGTTTAAATATAGAAAGAGAAGAAAAATTTTTCAGTTATTTATTTGATAAGGTGTTCCATGTTTGTTGACCAATGGCAATCGTGAATCAGGTAATTCAATGCATTTTAGATTACTCATAATTGTAAATTAAAAATATTGAAGAGTAAATGTGATTAATTTTATTGAAAAGTGTATTGAATATTATAGCAGTTCTTTTTTATGATGTTTGTGCATAAAAATAAGGATTTGATATAATTTTAACTGAAAAACATTCAGTACGAAATGATTTTTGAATAGTTTTTAGAATGTGTGAATCGGCATGCGCATAATGGAGTATTTGTTTAACAAAACCGCTCTAAAATCAAAATATCAAGTTTTATCTAGATAACTGCTTTATTAGATTAGATTACAAAAAATTCCCTTACTCTTTATTATCTTCACTTTTTCATTTAAAACGCGGCATTGTTGTTTGAACTTTCGTAAAAAAATTTCAGTCTATTGTTATCATATTGGTCAGTTTTGAAAAATAAAATTTCTAATTATAGAGACTATTATTATTTTAAATGAATTTACATTATATTTCAATTGTGAATTTAAGTATTAACTTTGACATAAAATTGTAATATTTTTGTTATCAAGTATGGAGAATTTTTTTTTAAGGAATAACTATTGTTCAGAAGAGAAACAAAAAATATGGCTTTAATATCAATACTGGTCTGTGATGGATTGCAATAAGCAAAATTTAAATAAAAATAATACCTACAGTGATGCAAATATTTCAAAGTTCTGATTGTTAGAGCTTATGGTGAAAAGAAAAAATTAACAAAATAGGCAAAACCCAGACATCTCTTTTCCAAGGTTATGCAGACATAAACTAATACAGTTCATTAGCAAATTAGCTTGGTCTGATGAAGAAAAAAAAGGTTGTCAAAGAAGGAAAAAAAAAAGGATGATCATTCAAAGAAGAAAAAAAAGGTTGTCAAAGAAGAAAAAAAAAAAAGGATTATAATTCAAAGAAGAATTAGGGCTTCTATTCCTTAGAATAGGGAAAACGGCTCCTGATATTAACGAAAGTTGTATACAAGGGTTTCAATCCAATAATTAAATAAAAGATTTTACTTTGAATGCTTAAATGACAATGCATATATGGCGGGAGAAAGCTACAAACTCTAAACCTTTTAATTCTGAAGTCAGCTAACTACTGTACCATGGCTACTTATGGTTAGAGGACTGGCTTCCGAATTGTGATCAATCAACTCACTGCTAATTGTTGTTAAATTTAAAATTTAGAAATAAAAATAGAATTATTAACAAGTAGCTGATCGTACACAAGTGGGATGGTAAATTATTTTTACCATCCCACTTGTGTACGATCAGCTACTTGTTATAGTGGTGAATTTTAAAAAAATATCAAAAAGAAAAGTATTATTTTAAATTTACATTTATCATTATAATGTTGATTTTAATTTTATAAGTATCATTATATTGTTAATGATAATTATCATCAATACCGGGTTAAGGGTTTTGGGGACCGGGTGTAAAAATTATTTGTTGTCACACTCCTAAACATATATATTAAAAAATGAACGCAACAAAATATGATTATTTTTTTATTCATAATGAAATTTTTCTTGCTTTCAAATTGGCCAAATCAATTATGATATCTTCAATATTTATATTTTGTAGCAGAGTTCTATCAGTTATCATTAGACAAAGAGAATTTAAACGATCATTAGACAAAGAGAATTTAAATGATCATTTAACATTGAGGAACGGAGATCATTCTTAACCCTTGCTATATTTGAATATCTACTATAATTGGTAATGGGAAGGGTTAGAAAAGTCCATTATGCAATGTCAGCATTTGGTAAAACTGATTTTAACTTATTCCTAATTGCTTTTAAACATCTTAGTGCTGATATATTTTTCTCATAAACTTGGAAAAGTTATGAGAACAGTTACATTAAAACTTGGAAAACTGAACAGTTCAATCATGGAATTGTGTATCTAAGTCTAAAGGATAAATAGTGCACAAGGATTTGGCAGCAGCACGATGACAGGAACATTTATGGTTGGGGAATTAGTTAGAACAACTAAACATTCTCTCTGCAGACTCGTAAGTAAAACTTAATTTCAATCACATTTTTAGCTCATTTATGATAGGTATTAAGTGTTTAATTCTAAAGTTGTCATTGCCACTTAAAACCACTTCATTAACTGTATACTCGATAACTTCTAATTTGTGTATCTTCTTTCTTTCATGATTGTAATGCTGAGGAACAATGCTTGAGAACCCTCTAGCACACTCCTGAATGTCAAGAAAATCTTCACGAACTGATGTCACATATTCCAATTGAGATTGAAGCAATCGCACACCAATAGCTAAATCTGCAAATTTATCCTAAATTTTGATGCAAGTAGCATCAAATCGTAACATGATTCAATGCCGAAGCTTCTTTATAAAAGTAACATTCAAAGATTTCATTTTCTTCAAAATTGTAGTAACTGTAATTTGCATGTAGAATTTGAATAGAAATGGATCCTACTGATCACCGACTCCAACTCAACCTTTTATGGTAATGATGCCATTTCTTGCACCACTTACAATAACAGAACAAATTATTTGCTATCTGTGAGTTAAAGAAGTACAGAAATTGTAGAGACATTGAAGAAACCCCAAAAAAATAAATGCAATCTTACATCTTTCAACAGCATTTATACCAACTTGATTTAAAGTATAAACTGCACAAAGAATAAAATCAATGTTTAGGTTTTTATTTTTCAGTTGTGCTTGCAGGTCGTTGTATTTTCTAGACATGATAGATGCATCTTTTAATCTTTTAGGTCCACAAGTCTCAAATCTAATAAATCTTTATGCCCATAATATAATTCATATTATGCTCATAAATAAAGTTATGCTCTTTCAGCCTTTTTATCAATTAAAAATTATATATGTTTGTATTACATTAAGAAGGCTTTCCATACACATACACATAAACTCGTTTATCCATGTTTTCAATTACTATTCTGCGTAAATGTAAATTTCGTTGATGGAACGATGAATATCCTCTTTTAAAACACGCATGGTTGTGGGCTTATTGACATAGACCTGTGATTATAAATAACAGGTCTATGTCAAATAATTGTACAAATTAATTGAAGTGTTTCACGGGTTGTATGGCATGCTGCCCCGTCTTGTTGAAATCACATATTGGTCACATCAATATCATCCAATTTCGGCATAAAAAACTGGGTTATTAGGTCGCAATATTGAGCACCAGTTACAGTCACTGCTTGACCAGCCTCATTTTCAAAAAAGTATGGTCCAATTATTCATCCAGCCCAAAATCCACACCAAACAGTGACACATTTTTGATGCATTTGTTTTTCGACAATCACATGTGGGTTCTCAGAACCCCAAAAAGCGGCAGTTTTGGTGATTAACAAGCCCATCAAGGTGAAAATATGCTTTGTCACTTAGAATATTGCTTGAAAAATCAATATTTGATGCTCAATAATCCATATCTATTTAACAAGTTCTCTTCGCTGTACATGGTCATTAGGCTTCAGCTGTTGTGTCAATTGAACTTTGTAAGCATGGAGACACAGATCTTTAATGAGTATACACGCTGTAGAGTGCTTCTTGAAAGTTGCACTTCTTGACCATGACGCCTAGTTAAGGTTCCTGGATCGTCACCAACACTCTCACGCACTGCTTCGATATTGACATTTAAACAATTTTTTTTTGGACGACTAGTGTGTTTGGCGTCTCCGACGGATCCCGTCTCCCGGAATTTTTCAATTAATCTCTTTAGAGCTGAGACAATACACTATTCCGTCCACATTTTGTATAAAATTTTTGAACTGCGGCCGCCAAGATTTCATTATTTTTGAAATATTGTTCAATAATGAAGACACGTTATTTTATCGTGTAACGCTCTATTTTTATTAACTCTAACCTGTTAGCCGTTGATTTGTTTTTTTTTTAGGGTTGTCAACACTTAACTACATAAATGGCAGCAAATTTAAATCTTGTGTTAATTTTGGGGCACCTTTTATATTTAAAAAAATTTAAATGCCAGATTAACCTAGGAGAGTATGTCTGGCTTAATCTGGCATTGATTATCTTTATAATGCTAATGGTAAATATCAATATACTGTTAATGATAATTATCATTAAAATGTTTGAGATTTAAAATTAAAAAATGCAGCCGAAGCTAAGCAATTTAGCACTGCACTTAAAAACAAAAGTTAAAAATATTTTACGATCAATAATTAATTAGGATCGTTTAGGGCAATCTGTGTTAGAAGTGAAACATTAATTTCCTAAGTTTGAAATTTATTTTCAATTTATTTTGCAAATTACCACGTTCAAAGTATTTTAATTCATTTCCATTCCATGTTTAAATAGTGAAATATGTTTAAATTTAAGAGTTCAAATGACGAAAACATTAACAAACTTTTTTTATTGCAGTAATAACTTTATTACTAAAGGAAAATTATTTTCTCCTACACCGAAATATAACACAGAACAGAAATAAGACAAAAAAAAATTATAAAAAAAAAAAAAAAAAAAAGGAATAAATACGCGTGTTTAAAAATACATAAGTAAATACTTTAAAATATTATCATAACAACGATTTTGATTTTATCTAAAATTAAGCGTTAAATTATATAATTTAAGCTAGAAATTGTCAAATATGACGTGTTCTAACTTGGCATCATACATAAAAATAAAATATCCCGACGGAATACAAGAATATGCAATCATCAGCAAGAAAAATTTTTTCGTAAATGAAACTTATATTTTATACTATGATTAAATATTTGTTTACAATTTTTGCTATTATTTTTAGTAAAATTTTAGAGAAAGAGTTTACAAAACAAAATGCCTGGGCCTCGAATTTCTTTTCAAAGGCCCTGATTGTGACCCTTTCTTTAGTCAATATGGAGACAATTAAATATTATTAAACTTTTTAATTAAAAAGTAAACAAATATTAATTAAAAAAATTAAAATAAGTTTGAAAATATAACTCTTGCTTTTTAAATTAACAATTATTTAAAATGTATTTAAACTTTCTACTTAAAATTTTACCGATTACCATTTCAACAGGTAAATTATCTTTAGTTATTGCTAATCTGTTGTATTTAAAAAAACAAATTGATTGTTTTTGGCGACAAATAGGCAATTACGTAATATCACCGCCAGTCTTTGATAACAAATGATTACAAGTTCAATTGTGTTTTTCTTCCTGGCCTCATACTACTAATGTCAAAAGAGTTCCAAGTGATTATTCTAAATTGCAAAAATTACCGAGCAATTATTGTTTTATTTTTTTTGAAAAATAATTTCATTTTGAAAAAACTTTTCATACCTAAAGAAGTAAAGTAACTCGTTTAGAATTATTTTAACTTTTAAATTTTTAAGATTTATTTGTTTTATTTTTTAGAGAAAGATGACAACGAATCTCTTTTGCTTTCCCGTTATAAGGTGATTTTTATGCTATAATGCACGTTATATAAAATTATGTGTTACCTTAATTCTTTGTTGTTTTTGTTTTTTTTAGGTGTCTTTCAATTTACTATTTTTTAACTATATGAGTTAATTGATGTATAGTTATAAATTTAATATTTTCATGGTTAAAAATAAATTCAAACCCAGAGGGCACGCGTCGTCCGGAGGACGTCCTTCGAACGTCTCGCGGACCTCCAGACATTCGTAAGACGTCTACAAGACGTCCCTTGGACGATGCATGGCCATTGGGAATTAGGTTTTTTGTAATCGATTTTAACACAAATATTTTATTTGATCAATATTTTTTTATTTCAGTTTACGAAAATTTTTTTTAGAATTTTTCAGAACAACAAAAAAATAGTTAGTGAACGAGCTTCAAGTGAAAAAAGAATCAACGATTACGCAAATAGTAATAACTTTTAAATATCTTATGTAAAATAATTTTTCAATTATAAAATTTTAATATATATATATATATATATATATATATATATATATATATATATATATATATGTATGTATATATATATATATATATATATATATATATATATATATATATATATATATATATATATATCTGTGTGTACGTATTTTATTTATTACCTTCTTATTAATTACCTTCATAAATATAGAAGACTACAAGCATAACGTAAACTTTGAAAACTGCCTTAAAGAGTTAAAGTTCCGTCAAACGTCGGCGTCAACCAGTTTTTTATCAAACAGCTTTTCATCAATCAACTCTGAATCAAACAGCTTTTATTCAAGAATTTCTAAAAATGCTACTTTCGCATCTAGCAATAATGTATCAAGCAAACCTGCAGCAAACACCTTTGTATCAAAGAAACCGTTATCAAGCAGCTTTGCACAAAATAAATCTGCATCGACTATTTCTGTATTAAACGAGTCTGTATCAAACAGCTTTGTGTTGAACAACTCAAGTAAATTTTTTTTTGTGACATTTTTTTACAGTTAAACAATAATAGTTTAGTGCCAAACCATTGAAGTGAGCTGGTGGGTGATAGGGATAATAAGAGATATAAAGTTTGAAAAAAGAGTTTTAAAAGTCATCAAGATTGGTTTTTAAAAAAAAGGGTTTTAAAAGTCATCAAGTTTGAAAAAAGGGTTTTAAAAGTCATCAAGATTGGTCTTACATTCTAAGCAGGTTTTAAAGCTTATACACTTTAATTTTTACGCTTTTAACTTTATTATTTATTTTTTAATATAATTCAAACTGCACTCCGTTAGCTGCTATTTAATTATAAATATTGTAAGATTTATTTAAATCAAAATAAAAAAAAAATATAGGATGCAAAAATGTATTAACCACCTTGGTTGCATTTCTGGCTATACAACTTTTTTTTTTTTAACTTTAAAGTTGAAAAAATTTTAAATTTAAATATTTTTCTACAGAATCAAGTTAAGTATCATTCATATAGTTAAAAAACGAGTCAATGGAGTAACATTTAAATTTACAAAACAAAACGTTTTGTATATTTAAGTGTTACTTATCAAACATAAATTAATTTAAAACAAAAAAGATGTAAAAAAAACTAATAATAAATATAATTATATAATAAAAATAATAAATATTAGGCAAATTAACATAAAAATAAAACAAAATAAACTATAGGAAAAAATACTGTTTAAAAACTTTTAAAAAAGAGGGCGCGAATGATTAAGATAACATAAAAAGGAATAAATATAGATAAAATGATAATTACTAAGGTATGATCAGAAGAATGAAAATTAGTCAAAAAAAAGTTATTATTGAAAAAAACGTGCAAAATAAATACAAAAAAAACATAGGGTAGAGCGGGACTAGTTGAGCAAAGGGGCTAGTTGGGCAATCGAAATATCTCAAACAATGCGCATCTCATGACAAATTTTATAATAGATGAAAGTTTGTAAGTTAGAATGAACACAATGCGCAATAAAAGGTTGTTGGATAAGATGCGCTTTTCTATTTAACCACAAAGAAGAAAAAAAATATTGCTTATTTTTTTATTTAGATGCTTATAAATTATTTTTTTCTACCATTACTTAAGTGTTGATGCTTTACTGATAATTTACCTTATTTTACTTAATTTGCCGTTAATTTACCGAATATTTACCGATAAATTATCTATAATTCATGATAATACCGATAATATACCGATTTATCAGACTTTTGATTATAGTTGGTTTTTTCTCAAGTCTTAATGATCTCTTTAATTTCTAACTAATGTGTCTGGGAGAGGTAAGTTGAGCAGCTTTGAAAAAAAAAATTAAACTCAGCTATCGAATTCAAAGACACAACTTTAATTAGAAAGAATTTTTTAAATTAAAAGTATATACTTTTAAAATTTTTTAAATCTGAAAAGTTCAAGATAAATGAAGACTACAGGGGAATAAAGGCACATATCACACTTTTCCACTTTTGAGATAAATGAAATTTTGTCTTTGAAAGTCGCTGTGTTTTCCCTAGTATGTCTTTTCTTTGGGTGCTTCTGCAGCATTATATAGGCCTTTTTTGGGTTGGATTTTATTATTTTGCTAACCTTCAGGCTTATGTTTGTATAGTAAGTGTCATAACTCAAATTATTGGAAAATTTTACATGTGCCCTTTTTGCTCTGTGATCAAATATATCAAATAATATTTTTATATTTAATAGTACTTTCTTACTATATATTTTTTTCTCTTCTATTACTTACGTCATCAAAGTGTATAAAATAAAAAGCTTATAAGTTATAGACACGCTTACAGTTAAGAATAGTTTTATTGATGATTTATTTAAATTCCATATCATGTTTATTCATTTATTTGTTGATTGATCCCGCAGTTGCTCAACTTACGCCGTCTGGGGTAGGTTGAGCTGCTCGGGAAACTTTCGGCAGTATCTTCTCAAACAAATAAAAAAAAATATTTTTTTTATTTAATTTTTACCAGGTTAAATTATCTTTCTAATAGTAAAAAACTATGCAAATCCAATTGTCCAAAATCACGAGATTTGCAAAATTTAGTAATAACTGCTTAACTAGCTCTGCTTTATCCTCCTTATATAGTATAAATAACTAACAATGTTAGGTACTCTACTAAATCTTATATACTAATTATGCTAATTATGAAAATTAAATGCAAAATTAAAACAAAATCTTGACTTTAAGGTTTGCTTTTTGTTTAGGTTTTATTTTTTATTGCGTTGCTATTATACTTGTTTAAGTTTTTTAATCTATTGAGTTGAGGTCTGCAAATGAAATTAGGGACCAGGCCAGCTTTTTTGGTGTTTACCATCTGAAACGCCTAGAAATGGTAGCATTTTACCTGAATATTAGAGCTGATTTTAGCTTAAACTTCTTTAAAAAGTTATATTTTTTATTTAGAAAATAATTATGTTGAAATGGGCTTACCAATCAACGAAATACTTGTGACAAAAGAGATAATTAAAACTGGTAATGAGAACAATCAAGTTATGAAAAAAAATAGTTGTAAAATGATAGACTTCCAAGAATTGAAAAAATCTAAAGAAAAAACCGGAAAAAAATTAATTAAACAATATACTTCCTTGATAAAAAGGCATAATCATTGCTATACTTATGATGGGTTTAGCGACATGAATAAAGGAAAATCGTTTTACGAAAATGAGTATTTATTGCCGCACGAATATACTTCGATAAAACCAATTTCTACCGTTAAAAAAGTTTAAAAAATTATTAAAACAGCAAATTTCCATTATAGAAATTTGCAGTATGTTATTAAAAATAACTTATATTAATTCATGTTATGAAGCTATTTGTTAAATCAACAATTAAAGGAAGCTTTTATTAAAGAACTCACAAATATTGCAAAGCCGAAGTTTGAAGTTTTAAATTGAGGTTTTATATAATGACTTTTTTTTATTTATTTGAGTTATGAAAACTTATTTTTTCATATAAAACTATTTTCGAGAAAAACTAAATAAAGGTATCCCAGTGGTCATTTAAAAAATACGTCTTTGAACAATCAAAATATGTTAACACATTTAAGAGACTATTTGTTTTCTACACTAAATGCTTGCTGGGATAATGATATAATGAATAATGGTATCGTAGTTAATAATTAAATATAATTTTTTTTTCGTCCATATAAAATGTATTTCATTATTACATTTTTCATTTTATTTAACTGTTTGCAAAAACACATTGCTTATAACATTATTTTCTTTTAATAATTTTGAGTAATGACGAGGGTGAGTAGAATATGAATGGTTTTATAATTTTATTTTCTCTTTTTTTTGAGTTGACTATATATAGTATAAATTGTCAGATGTTCTCTATTTTATTTTTTTCTGAACTTTTTTATTCTTTAAGTTTTTAAAATGAGGCTTGTTCAAGTGGTTTTAGTTATAAATATATTGCTTATATTTTCATTTAAATCAAGCTTTGTCAGCTCAGGTATATGGTCATCATGATTAACTTGCTACTGGTAAAATGTAACCCAGTGCAACCTGTTTCATGTCTCCTGCTGCCTTATGGGATTTGCTTTTTAAGGAAACGCTCGAAAGAGTGTACTTCCTGTCATCAATACTATCTAATATCTGTCATGATTATAAATATATTGTTTTTTTTTTGCTTGTTTACTTTTTTTTTAATTTTTTGTAACCTTTATATAGTTGGAGGTGCATTAGTTATCGTGTTACCTGTAATTTACTTTATATGTATGTTTGTGTTCTGTCGCTGGCGCGGTGTTTACTCACCGACAAGTTGCTATCTGTATGTTTGTGTTTTGACTTAATATATGGCGCCGTGTTCACTCAACCATAAGTTACTATATGTATGTTTGCTTTCTGTCTAAACCTCTGTCTGAACCTCTAGCGGGAATTCACTCAACCGTAATTTACATTATGTATATTTGTGTTCTGTTTAAGTATTTGACGGAGTGTGAGTTTAGTAACCGACTGATGACACTAACTATAAAACCTGCGCTCGCCTTAATCTTTAGTGTTTTGTTAAATGCCATGTTTTTTTTATTTCCCAAAAGATCTTATCAATATTTTAAAGTATTGCTTACAGGAAGTAGGGCTGACGACTCAGGTTTTAAAGTGGAGGGGCATAATCGTCAATTTCTAAAAAAAGTCCTCTACACTTAGAAGTTTCAAAAGAATAAAAATAAAAATGGTACTTCAAAAAATATTCTTGTTATAATCTCACAAAATTGTTCTCAAAAACTCTATTTAATTCTTGACTAAGTCTTTTTCTTCATCCTGCTAAAAAATGGCATCTGTGGTTCTAATTTTCAAAAACTCCGATGAACATTCTGACCCCTCCAATTATCGTCCGATCAGTTTTCTTTCTGTTATTAGCACGATCTTTGATGCTATTATCAAAAAATTTCTCACATCTCATCTTGAGTTAAATAATTTACTGCCAGACACTCAATATGGTTTTCAATCGTCTCGCTCTACGGCTGACTTGCTAAGCGCTGTGACTAAAAGATTTTATTGAACTTTAGATGGAGGCAGAAAGGTTAGAACTATTGCTTTTGATATATCTAAAGCTTTAGAAAAAGTTTGGCATGCTGATTTTCTCCATAATTTTGCTTCATATGGTTATGGGAAAGTTATTGAGATTATTAAATCGTTTCTTTCTAACCGTTTTGTTATAACTTTATTAAAATGAAGAAGAGTTTTGGCTTTTCGTCCTTGAAGGCCAGCATTCTTCTTCATTTCTAGTAACCATCCTTGGTCCTGTTATCCTTGGAACTTGTTACGTTACCACTTTATTATCAAGATATTGCAGCTTCATAGCTTTCGATATTATTACAATATATTATTACCTACATATCGTAACAATATTATTAAGATATATCGATAGCTACATATCGTAGGTATAGGTTTACAATTAAAAGCGCAATAAATTGAAACAATTTTCTTCAAAACATATACAAATATAGCTACATACCAAGCTGCTACATAAAAAGTTTTATAAACGATATAAATTATGTAATTAATAAAAAAGCAAATGTTTTGATTATTAAAGTTTAACAGCGCATTTAAAAGTTTCAAGTTATCGTTGCGCAATCACTGCTTTCAGTAACTAAACAAAATGATTATTACGCAACATTATTTCACAATGGTATTGACCCCTCCCTAATATTTTGATGTTTTAATCTTTATCTCCTTTTATCATCTTTTTTATTTTATATAAAACACGCATATCTATAAAATATTAGAAAATAAACGATGTTATTATTGCCATTAACTCTTTGCATACTAATTTTTTTAGTAAATGAAACGGTTTCCATTTTCAAAACCACGATTCTTCGTATAATTATAACCCAAGTTTTAAAAATATTCTGTCAACTTCTTTCATAAAAAAGGAGGTTGAATGATTAGGCCATGGGTTTTTGATATTCAAGTTAGGTAACTTCCTGAATTGAAAAACTTTAAATTTTTTTCTGGTTTTTTACAAAAAGATACAGTGATCAAAGCTTGGGAACAATATAAACCTGAATACTTTGGAATTACTACTCAAAATATGGGAAGAAAAAAAAACTTTTTTTTTTTTGTATTATAAAATAGATCGAAATTCATCGGAAAAGTTAATTTATCTAAAAAAAATTTTTATCGTTTAAAAATGGCAACCAAAAAAAGTTTAAAACTCTTTCAATTTGCGGGGGTAGTCAACTTCTAAAGGTCATATCTTTTGAACGGTAAAACATTTTTTCTCTAAATAAAAACTTTAAAGACGAAATTTGGTTTTGTTGATAATGGTAACGGTTTTTAAAATGCTAATACTTCCCCTTTCCCTTAAAATATTTGGACCTCGGGGTACTAATTTTAATGTAATATTGTTGCCAAAATCTGACCATCGTGAATTATTTTTTTGTATTAATGCAAAAATACATATCTGGAAGTTACTTATCTTGAACAACAAAAAATCTGGAAATTGGTCTTTGGTATAGGGGAGAACGGGGTTGGTTGTCACACTTTTTACATTTTAGACTGTTCAGCTTTTATTTTTCATCAAATCAATGACAACTTTACACGAAAGTAATTTAACTATTTCTGGTAACTATTACAATATTTTTATGAGATTGAGTGAAAATTTTTTGCTGTAAAATCATTTATCATAGACCTCTTCCGTGTGACAACCAACCCCACCCACGGGGTTGGTTGTCACATACTATGGCGATAGTTGTCACATTTCTTGGTATATTTTAATTATATTTGAAACTAGTACCGATAAATTTTGTTTATATAATACAAAGAATAAATTTCAATTATCTGAAAAAAAAAGGGCTATATACTTAAAAAAAAACTATATACCAAAAAAAAAATTTTTTTGTATAACACTATAAACACATTAAGTTAAGGACTATATAAATGTTTTTGAAAATGGTGCTTTTATAAATTATTGGATGAAAAAAACAATTCACATATAAATTGGTGTAAACCTGGTGTGCATTCTTTATGAGCCCATTTGTGGCAATCCTGACATTTTTTAGGCGATTGTGAGAACCATCCCCATATATTTTGTGACAAACAACCCCGTCTATCTATGTTGCAAGACACCTGTAAATTTACCTAAAAGCGTGTGAATTTCATGAAAGTTTTTTGAAGATTAAGTTACTCAAATGAATAAAAAACATTAAAAATGTACATTCAAAGCACAATAAAATAATTTTCGTTTGGTAAAAGAAAATTTCTAAGTGAGCGAAATTTAGCTTTTTCATATCAAAAACCTGTAAAGACAAAAAAAAAATTATTCTACTCGCTAAAAAAAGCTTAAAATTAGAGTGAAAACGTTTTATATAACATTTCCATTGTATGATTATAAAGTTCTAAACCTATCTATATTTCCTGTAATAAACTTTGTGAAAACCAACCTGCGTGACAACCAACCCCGTTCTCCCCTATATATAATTGTTTTTCCATCAGAAAAGAGTTTAAACAATACAAATTAATGTTTACATTTATATTTATTTCCGTTTACAATCAATAATAGCTTCCAAAAGATGCAGTTATATATTATAATACATTTAATTTTTAAGAAAAACTGTTTTAAAGAAGGTATGTCAGGAATGTGACTTTGTTTGCAAGTTTTGTGGGTCACATGAATGCTTGATAAGAGTAGGCACCTTTGGTAACATATTAAGACCAATGGTTGACTCATATTCAGGCAACAAGCTGAAACCAAGGCATGCAACTTTAACAGATTTTAAACATTTAAAGGAATTAACTAAAGAAATGATATGTTCATCTTTTTCCAGTTTAAGAGATTTTATTTAATTCTTTTAAGACATGAATATTTTTTAACAGTTTTGAAAATTTTCGACCTTTAAATTTCACCGTGCAGCTTAGGCCTTTAAAAATGAGCATTTATTTGGAAGAGCATTTATGTGGATGAGCATTTATTTGGAAGATCACGGCTCCTTCATAATCAATAACGCAAAACTTGTCTAGAGGTGGACCACTTTGCGCCACGGCTGCTTCATTTTGTTTCAAAATAGTGAGAATTTTATCAAGATTCGACTGAGATTCAGCCACGTTTTTCTGCTAAGTCATCAATAAACATTTTTTTACGCCACCGTCTTTGTAATTTTTATTGCCTATTCCTTCCTCATAGCTAAACATTTTTTTATGTTCTTTCACTTTTTTTATCATATTTAAACAACCTTTTAAAATTCGCTTCCAACGTCAATGCTCATCTTTAGAATATTAGCAGCGGTAGCGCAGTGGTAGCGCATTTGCTTCAGACCCAAAGGATCCGCGGTTTAAACCCCACCTCTGGGCAAGTTTTGCGACATCAATTAAGAAGGAGGCGTGAACTTCCTATTAGATGCTTATCCATGGTGCTCTGTAATAATACC